GTTCGGATCCTGGGCGCGGACATGGCACCACTCACCAGGCCATGCTGAGGCAGCGTCCCACATGCCACAACTAGAAGGACCCACAACTAAAATATACAACTATGTACTGGGGGGATATGGGGAGAAAAAGCAGAAAGAAATAAAAAAAAACAAAACAAGAGGTTATAAATATTGGTACCTAGTTAAGGGATCATATCACGGGCTTAGATTTCAAGAGGCTGGCCTTTTTTTTATAAACTTTGCCCCAAATTATCCTGCCACACACTTTCTGAATTGTTTCATTTCACTCTGTTAGACTGCATAAAACTCCACCCAGAAGAAATGACTTGGGACTAGCAAGCACCCTCCTTTTAAAACTGCAACTTCTGGCAGAGTTAACGATCTTTCAGTCATTCATACCTAAGTATGAATTAGTTTAATCAACTACGTTCTTCTGTCAGTAAGATGAGGAAATTCCCTAGGGGAAATACAAACACACAGGTGGGGGAGGTGTATCGAAAGGGAAGAAGGCAGATGGCAATTTATTTCAGAACTTTTCCCAAAGCAGACCTTTCTTTCACCGAAGGAAAAGAGAAAAAGAAAATTTTTTCCCTCTCTCTTTCTTCTTTCTCTTCTAAGCAGCAAATATATTAAAAATAGACTGGGAAAGAGTAGCTCAAGGGATCATTGCAGTGATAGAACATCTCTATATCTTGACTGTGGGGTGGTTACATGAATATATACATGTGGTAAAATAGCATAAAATTAAGATCTGCACATGCGCACGTGCGCGCGCGTGCGCGCGCACACACACACACACACAAGTGCATGTAAAACTGCTGGAATCTGAATAAAGTGGCTGCACTGTATCAACACTAATTCCCTGGTTGTGATATTGTACTATAGTTACGCAAGATGTTACCATTGGGGAAAGCTGGGTGAAGGGTATATAAGAGTACTCTGTGTTATTTCTACAATTGTAGGTGAATCTACAATTATCTTAAAATAAAGAGATTTTAAAACAAATGAACTGGGACAGTGTTTTCTGATAATGGCTGGCTGGGCAGCAGGATGAGGAGACCAGAGTGGTAGTCATCATAAGGGTTTAAAGTAAATTTCAGTTGTGAAAGCAAATATAAAGGCCATGAGTGCTGGAATTTTTCCTGTTTTAGTCTTGTCTAAAATAAAGGGACTGTAAGAGAGGAATTGCAGTGGATAAGGAAAGAGAAAATAGAGGAAGACAGGAAGAGAGGGTCCACATCAAATAGTTCATTTTCTTTTGTTCCAACGCTCCCTCATAACTGGAGATACTAAACATGTAAGGAAAGAAAACAATTGCATGTTTGAAATTATTAGAAATAAGAATGCCTTCTTATTAGGCACCTCCCTTAAAGGTGCCAAAGCTCAGGCATAGAATTTATTCTTAACATCTTCTGGGAGGACAAGGCTAATTGTCTATTCTCGTTATCAATCTCTCTCTCTCTCTGTCTCTGTCTCTCTCTCTATATATATACATATATTTACACATATATATTTCATATATGTATGAATATATAAACGTGTTTCACTCACTTTGTTGACAGGTAACAATTTTGACTTAAATGCAATGCTCCCTTGAAGACTATTGCAGCAAAAGAAATTAATGATCCTTAAAATTTGATTTTACAGCAAACAATTCTTCAAAAAATTTGTAGTGTTTTGCAAGCATTATTCTTTTGCACATTCTCATTTTTTATGCTAAGCATTCTACAAGTTTGTTTTTTAAGTTGACCAATAGAAATTATCTCATTTTAAGAAATTGGATTTTATTTGAAAACATCTTTCCCAGTAAATCAGTTTCTTTTTAGTGGGAAGATAAAGTCCATTGGCTTTAAAACTTCTAGCGAAATAGTTTTCAAAGGTTCATCTCTGTTATTCACTGAAATTATTGGAGCAATTTGATTGAGTGGCCATGTAGCATGTAATTTTTATTAGGTATGTGAACTGCCTTTTCCAACTTTGGTAACCTTGTTATCATGCACAGTTTTGTGTTCACTGAAATTTACCTAGTAGCATTCTCAATCAGAATTTTCCTCTGGCTTGAAAAGGTTGATTAGGTTCACTGCCCATAAAATTTAGAGATATATAATAAATTTTCAATTCATCAAAATATTTTGCACCTGAGATTCTTCATTCTCACCTCTTATCTTCGGTTTGTGATGACAGAATTTAATCTTCCAGACCCTGGATCTGTTTTAAACATACTGTATGCCACAGGGATATTCCGTGAAGTACAGTGGATCTCACAGACTGCCACACTGTGTTTTCTCACTTGAAGTATTCTTTGTGAAAAAGGTTCCACTCTTTCTCTAAGAATTCAGTTTGATCAATATTTATTAATTTCCAAATTTTACCTTGCTTACTTTAAAAAGCAGGTAAGATAGCTTACTATAAGATTAATGTAAAACATCTTTACTTTCTACAGAATTTGCAATCTCGTGTTATTTTTCCACTTACTCTTATGAGCTTTTTTCTTTTTGTTTTAATGATGTCCTTCCTAGTCCACTTAGGCTGAACTACATGATTCACCAATCTGCTGAGTTTTACCTTGTATTCTTATGATTCTCCTGTCTGAATTTACTCTTTCCCAGTAGAGCTCACATTCCTGAGGGACAGAGGCCTTGTCTTTGGTTTAGAGGAGCTCTTCTATAGCACTTTCAAGGTCCTATGGATTTCCTGTAATTGGTTATTTCCCTATTGGGCCAATAATGATCTATATTCTTCCTACTGCCTATATGTTTCCTGCTTTTAGGTAAACTGTTTAAGCTGATACATGAATTCTCTCAAGCAACAAATAAAATGTGTTGTCTTTACTTTGAAGAGGGAAACTCCCACCAGCAGTTGTTCACTGATGACTAGTTAAGAGATTCCCAAAGAATTCTTGTCCTAAATTTTACATAGCACTCTATATTATCTCATAGTAGCCTCACAACAACCCTCAGATGTAGGTTTTCTTTTTTACTTCTAAGGAAAGCTTCTCAGGGAGCTTTCCTAGACCACATGTGTTGGGTGTGGAAGAATTAGGACTTGAACCCAAGTCTTCTTACTCTAAGGTGAGCATTCATTCCAGTAGACCACATCTGGCTCCATGAGGCAGCTCCTATGGAATCAAGTCTGAGGCCAAAACCAAAAGCCCAGACTGAGCTGGGTTTTGCCCCTGCTGCTCCCTGGAAGTACTACATACTCGTGTGGGATAGGAGCTGTCAACACTGAAATATTTACCTGTAATTTCTTTGGCACCTACCCTCCTATCCGTGGACTACAGAGTCACATCCCTAAGATAATACTGGATGCCTCTGGATATTATTGTACTGCTTCAGGGCTCATGGTGGCCAGGGACAAGGGAGAGAGGTGCAGTATAAGCACAGTTTAAGCTCTGGAGAAGTCTGTCTTCAGTCATTGCTCATTCACACAGTTGCACCAGTCCAAACTCTTTTCCACTGGACTGTAAATGCCTTGTGGGCGGCAAGCATGTTTCTTCCCATTTAAGACTTCATAAAAATAATCAGCCTAAAATAATCCTCATGTTAAAGAGACATATTTTGGGGTGGCAAATTTTTAACAACCTCGTGTTAAAGAGATATTTTGGGGTGTCTTCTTCAGTACACTCTATGATGTTTGCACAACAGCATAATTGCCTAACGACACATTTCTCAGAATGTATCCCTGTCATTAAGTGTTGTGTGACCGTGTTTTGATATTTGGATTCAATAAGGTCTCTTATAAATTCTCAAACTTTAGGTGTTCTGCCCCTTAACTCAGAAAGGTTTTTGTGAAGTCATGTCAGACTTAATCTAAGTGTTATTAGCTATCCAAGACAGAGTGGAAAGAATATTCTCAGGTTTATACAAGGTTTATTAAGAGGCTTAAAAGTAAGAATCAAAATTTTGAACTTTGCAGGTTTAAGAAGAATTAAAACACTGAATCAATATGTATCAGGAGGTTTTAATATCAATATTGTGTCAAGCAGTCATTTGTAAACCACAAATAAAACAAATTTTATGAGGTATCACAATGGCCTCATTGAAATTATTTCTCAAATATTAACTTTAAGAAAGTAAAGTCAAATATCAACACTGCCTCTAGTCCTTAAATCTGCCCTCTAAGCTGCCTCATGCAGGCAGTAGCACATAGCGTGTATATATGTCCCCTCACACGCTGTCAAATGACTTTCACTAATTCTTTCCTAGAAAATGTGCAAAAAGGATTTCCATAGAGGCCATTGGAGATTTCCTGTGTCCTCATGTGTATAATAGGTTGGGTCCAGTAACAATGAAGGAAGAAAAAAGAATGGGGATTTTGTTTCACATATTTTCCTCCTTCTGGCCATTGAAAGGGAAAAAGAATAAAAAGGAAAATTATACCATACAGATCATGTCAGTGTTAAATTAAATTAAGATCATATGTTTGGCTGTGGCAGCTGTAATCTTTAGATTATTGAAGAGATTGTTGCTAATAAACTACATTTGCAAGAAATATTTTTAGTGTATACTGAATACGTGTACAAACTATGAGATATGCATCTAATAAAATGATAGATTTAGAAGTTGCCCAGCATCTAAATTCATGCTTTACAAACAGCTATTTATAGAAAGAAAAGTGATATTTAAGCTGCCATTGTAGAATAGTATAATCTGCCTTATATTACCTTAGATAATAGTACCATATTTTAAAATAATGTTGTAAACCATTCAATTATTCATTCACACCTAAGTTATATAAATTGGAAGATTTGGGATTGTGCAGGAAAAGAATTAGTTTTACAAAAGTAAGACCTCACTGTCATGGCTTAAAGAGATGGCTATGAAACAAGTTATACTGTAGATAAAAATAAACCAAACCAATATGAAGTTTTAATAAACAAAAAATATTTTATGGAGACATTAAAAACAACTATTCATTTTAATCTTTTCTGGTATGAAATGAAACATCAGTGAATCTGGTCGTGCTCTTTGTTTAATATGTATTTCTCCTTCTGATAGGTCCTTAACACTTACAGTAAAATCTCTACAGAGCTGGATGATGATCTCAGCCTGGGGAGAGCATATGAGGCCATCGCCAAGGTCCTGCAGAGGTACGTTAGCACAGCCTTGTCTTGCTGTCACTGTGAATTCACTCAGCTGTGAAAGACTTAAATTGTTTGAGGTCTGTCGCTTTCCATTACTGCCTGCTTAAATTTTAAGCAGTGCCCTTCTTAAGTGACCCTTTCATCGTAAGTTATTTTAAACCAATGTGGTATTTTAAGAGATGCACCTAAACTCTTCTTTGTCTATTCCTCCTCTGTATTGTTTTATTTTTGATTTTCTGTAAGTTTAGTGATGACCTTGAATGAAAGGGAAAAATCAGGTCACATCTCACAGGTTACAAAATCAGAGAGCACAGAAATATATAGTACGCTTCAGTAACCATGGCTCACCATAACCTTTCCAGATCTCTTCTTTGAGGAAAGTTTCCATTTATGCTTCAGTCATACTTCTTCCATTAAGACATCTCTCCTTTGAGCATATCTGGATAAACAATTGGGTGGAAAAACAATATTCCCAATATTTCATTTAAAATTGAAAACGTAACAAAAGTATACATGAACAACTTCTGATGCAATTTTTTCCACAGAAAAGATGTGGTTTGCCCCTCACTCATCGTATTGTGATCATTGTGCACTCCATTTAATTGTTGCGTTATATAGTAGCATTATGATTTACGTGAAGATAAAATAAGAATAAGAAAAGTTATCAAAGTTAAGGCCTTGGTTTTTGATATATCCTATATCTAAGATATAGCTTTTTAATAGTGGTATATTAGTAATAATAATAACAATCATATAGACTGTGTCAAGTCCTAATTTCTTCTCATTTGTATTTCAGTTGTAAACACATACAGGGTGGTGTTTTAAAAGGTAAAATTGCTATTTGAAAGACGTTTAAAACATTAAATGCCTAGTGAACTGAAAGTGGATCCTCATTATATAATTACCATTGCCAATATAATAATTAACTATTAAATAAATAATTAATTAAATATTAAAATACCGATACCAATGAAATTAAAGGTACCCTACAAAATACCAAATAAAATGCAAAGCAGTCATCACTGGATAAATGGTTAGGGACGCAGACATATTTATATGGAGAATATGGACGTTTGCTCAAGGAAGGAAGGGCCAGCCGTGGGTAAAGCAAGCAACTTGTGAGTGCTGTGGTCCCTTCAAATAAAGGTTGGTAACTAGCCCATGGAAGATCAATCTGGCTATTCCTTAAACTTTTACTTTCCAAACAACACCTGGAAAGAAGCAGATATTTGAACACAAAGAAGAGATTCATAATTATTCAATTTTATGTCTGTTTGGAACACACCAACTCTGCCCTTTTGTCGAGTTCATTTTGATTATTAAATCACTTCACTCTGCTGCTAACACTGCCCAGCATCAGTAGAAAATGGTTGGATTATTTGTCTTGCCTTGTGGTAGCAGACCTGGATGAAGCCTGCAGAGTTAGATAAATTCCTCCCTTAACATGTTTATAAAATACTTTTTACAAAATGACATTGTGTCCCAACATAACTAAAGAGATAAAACTCCAGGGAAAAATATTTTCTTTTATAAACATATACTGAGTACTTACTATGTCATAGGACAAGACAAGTGTTGGAATGCCCCTTTGGCTACTGATAGTCTTTATAATTATTTTTGAAACTTCTGGAGACATGAGATTATCTTAAAATAATTCTCACTTATTCAACTAGTGTCTCATCTGGAATATTTTAGTCTCCACTCCAGGATTTGAATTCCTGGTCTATACAGTAAAAGCTAACTGTCTGTTGAACAGCTTTCTGATGAATATTGGCAACAACATCATCAGACAATCTAATGTTTTAATATGCTTAAGTATTATTTGGGGTTTAGATGTAGAAGAGGATACAGCTATATTTGATATCTCATGAAGTAGGTGGGTTTTTGGTAGGAATGGGGACAATTCTATTCCAACACTCTCAACAGTCCAGCAACCTGCCTTGGGGCAAACAGATAATGGGCAAGAAGATTTATCCCCATCTCACTTTTACACCAAATGAAATGAATTCCACTTAGAAGAATTCCCATCTACTAAAGTACTAATGAAGCCATCAATGAATGATTTGTGTGGTAGACATGGGTTCTTAATTTTATAATATTAGGCAATGACAAAAGAGTACAGGAGACTCTTCTTCGAAGGTCATAGGGAAAAAGTGTCCCAAGGCCACAGCAAGATTTCCAATCTAAAGCTGCCATTTTGCAGCATTGTTGGTGGTTATGGAGGCATTTAAGCCTTGGTACATTCTTTTACCATTTTGGGCGAAATAACTCATGAGAGAGACTAAGGTTTCAAAAACAAAAATTTTATACAGGTAGACAACAGCACCCTATATATCTGAGAAGCCGTATTAAATGAAGTCCATTAGTTACTAGAAATGCTTTGATATAAGTTTTGTGGTCATTTTTAGAAAATTTTGCTTCAAGGGCTTGGTGCTCTCTGATACATACATGCATGCATACATGCAAACACACGTATATCTCTTTCATAGTCCCAAACTATCCTCAGATTAGCAGCAACATGCAAGAAATGGCACACAACCAAAATAGACAAAATTATGGTGGTGGAGGCTGAGAAATAAATCAAGCTGCATATGAAGCTTAGCATCACCTCCAAATCTCTTTTTCCTAACCTGTGCAATTGCAAAAGTTTTGCTAACAGTAGCCCTGTCTCTGTAAACAGAGATTTTATAAACAAACATTTTCCTTGCTAGGGATAAAAGCAATCCTAGCCCTTGAAAGGAAAAGGAAGAGAATAGCCATGTCTAGGATAAGCGTATATCTAAGCCCATCAGCTGAGTATGCATGAAAGGTGACTAAGCTCTAAGGCTGGAAACTTCTAAAATGGTTATAAGAATTTATACTGAGCCTTCAACTGAAAAACATGCCACATTCCCTCAAGAGCAGGGACTTGAAAGTACAGAGTTGCCCATTTGGTGATGCTAGACCCAGCCCTGGCATTAGAGTTACCGATGAAGGCTTTAATAGAGAACAGAGTTTGTTATTTTTGCTATTGGTCTGAATATTGTTAATTGAACAATGGTTTAAGCAGTGTAACAGAATAAGCATTTGCACTGTCTTTTTTTCCCTACTCAGAATACTAGTGAAAGAAAGAAGAGTTGATATTCTAAAATGATAACAATTGTCTATGACACAGCTATAGAATTACGGTATAAAAGAAAGAGAGTGAGTTGAGAAATTACCAAGTAAATATTATTATTACATAAGCAGACAATTTGAGTAAATACATAGGGAAAAAATCCTCACTTTGCCTCATGGCATTTTTTTTGGCCTCATTTACTGAAATTAGTCATTTACTAAAATGCCACAACTCTCCAAATAATGACTGTTAAAAAGAATCTAGGGGGAAAAAACCCCACAAAAATGAGAGTTCTTCAAGACCCATTTGTTACAACCAGCCAGTCTCTGGTTTATTCCATGCCAATTGTAAATTTTCTTGCAAACTCGGTTTAAATTATTTCCTGTAAAACTTTCCACAGTGGAGATCTTTAAATCAATCTGTACAAAGTTTCAAGTGTGAAAATTACCTTTCTGTTAAAGCTGAAAATTAATTTCTTCTTGCTTGAGAGGAATGACATGCCCTGGTAATTTTCATATATTCTTTAAAATGGAACGTCCAGGCTTTGATGCAAAATTTCCTAAAAATGACCCTCCAAAATACATCAAAACATTTCTATTAATTCATGAAATTAAGAATAGCTTTTTACATTTTCTCCTGTCACTGATTCCATTTGCCTTATTACTTTCATCTGTAGCCCACAAACTTGGTGGCACAATCAACAAACCCCTTAGTGGCTGTTTCATCTCTGCTCTATTTGATTTCTTCTCTCTGAGTAAATGATTAAGTTTTCATGCATTGGTTCAACCAAAATCTATGTTCACTCAACCACATCCTTTATTGATTACTTCTACTGCAAACAGTAGGCCAAGTGTGATATACATAATTGGACAGTTGTCAGGGGATGTGGGTGTTAACAGTCCTGTTTTCCCAGTTGGAAACTGGAATCACCTTGATACACAAATATTCTGCACTGTTTCATTCTCATTCTTTGGACCGAGGAGTCCTGTTCCTCAGAATATATGTTTTTAACTCTCTAAGGTCTGGTTGAATGAATTTAATGATTATACCATATAATATGCTGTCCAAGTTGCACCTGTGCACTGCATATAGAAAACTGGAATTAATATTTGTCTAACATTTTAACCTTGTCCTTTAACTTACACAAATAACGTGTAGCTTTCCTGTAAGAAAATATTTGATTTTTTTCCCTTCCAAAGAAAGACTGGCTTCCAAATCTATTGCTAACTTTTGCATTTGGAAATCGTTTAAACAATATAGAATGTTTATATTTCAGATGGTATATTAACAACTTTGCTGGCTATAAAACTGTGCATTCGTTGAGGGGAGCATATAATTTATAATAGAAAGACTTTTTCTCTAGCATTATTTGTCAGAGCAGTTTCTAGATAATTTTGGATGTTTTAGAGTTCTGTTGCTCCTTTGGGAGAAAAAGAACTCGACTCACCCAGCAATGGTTTTATTTATACTGTTTTGTATTTCTTGTTCACCGAACTTGTTTTTTTTGTTTGTGTATGTTGTGATTTAACAATCCTCAGCAGGCCAAACCTAATCCAAAATGCACTTGCATCAAAAACATATCAGCTTTTAGGAACATGAACATAAATGAGCTTCAGCGAGTCCATTTTAGCTAAATAAAAATAATTTTTCCCTAAGGTTTTAAAATGATATGCAAAGAAGTCTCTACTTTTTTTTATTATTTCATCAGTTTTTTCTTGATTACTACAGTCAAAGAAAGAGCTTGGAGAGTTAACATCAATTTGATAGAACATTTTTAGTTCTAGAAATCCACACGTTTGCTCAAAATTCTAAATAATATGCTATATTATTATATGTTAATATTTTTATACTCTTCATCTCTCTCAATACCATTGTAGCTGTCCCACAAAACAAATTTTTAAATTAAAGT